CATCACAGAGAGGGGAAGAGAAACTGCGGTATGTAGGATAAGGAATTATGTATCAGGTTAAGAACAATTGTCTAGTAGAATAAAACGCTCGTTACACACCACATCACTTCAACAACTGTCCTATCTGAGTGTTATAGGGCATTCCCGTGATCGGCTAAGCGGTGACAACTACCAAGCTACGAAAAACTTCTGGTGGCCAAGGCTTGAACTTATCCCGAAAATATCAGTGTCAGCGAGTCCGAAGCCGAAGATGAGCTGCAAAGCTTGTTGGGCCACACGGCGTTACGAATTATAGAACTTCAAGCTGATGTCCTTGAGAGCATTGATGATGATATCGTGGTTGACTTGATTTTAATTGGCAAGTGGGGATTTGACGGCAGTTCTAGTCATTCCGAATATAAACAGAAAGCATTGAACAGTAACATTGATGATTCGAATTTGTTTGTGCACTGCAACTACTGCAACTAATTTCTCAGGAAAATAATCTCCAGAACACAAAATAATTTGGAAAAATCCGCGACCTTCATTCACACGTTACTGCAAACCAATACGATTCCAATTCCAAAAAGAAACAACACAATTGACTATAGATGAAGCCAAATACTTTAGGCACAAAATATCTGCGCTGGAGCCATATACATGTAAAGCATGAACCAAAAATATTTCAATTACACATCGTTTGCAGAAAAGTCTGTAGTGCTTTAAGTGAAACACCAACTTGTAAATGCTACATATGTGACGCAAAGCCGAGCGAAATGAATGATTTGAAAAAATGCTTAAGCAAAAAAGTTTACGAAAAAAATTATGAGTTTTGGTTTTTTTTTTCGATTCGATTTTTTGAATATTTCTTGCATTTGGCATATAGATTGCATTTAAAAACTTGGCGAATTTGTACCCCAGAAGATAAAAAAAAACCTCTAAGGATAGGAAAACACAAATTCAAGCAGACTTCTGCGCCCAAATGGGATTACATGTTGACCAACCAAGAAGTGGAGGTAGTGGAACTTCAAATGACGGTAATACGTCAAAAAGGTTTTTTTAGCGAAGACATAAAAAAATGTAGAGTATCATACTAGGAAAATGTCACGAGTTGACACAAAAAGGGATTTATTTAATAGAGTGCTCTTAAGTTCAGACACTTTCATAACTGGGCAAAGAAAACTGCATTTGTTGCTTGATGAATAAAATACATAATACATATATGAATTCGTGATTGATTTTACTTGTGAAGACCAGCGTCTTTCACCAGCGTTCTCATTTACAGGTCAAATATTAAATATAGGTCTTGGAAAAAAAGAAATTTTTTAAAAGTTGCACCATCTTTTTATATGGGAGCTATAAGATATAGTTCTCCAAGTTTGGTAAGGGACTTGCAACAAACTGTGAGATTGGTTAAGATATCTATAAAAACAAAAAAGTTGTTCATACTAAATGTTGATTTTAAACAAATTGTTCCTATGGCAGCTATAAGATATAGACGTCCTATCTGACGTCCCAATTTTTTTACTATATATAATACTCAAAATATTCTGATAGATTTTTTATAACAATATGTCCACTAGAAGTATTTTTGGCCGCGTCTCCATACAGACCCAACCACTGTGCGATGTACTTCCCACTAAGCTAACGGACTTCAAGTTTTGGGCCCATGGGCCTTTATTTCGTCGCGGATCAAATGAACATTCGTTCAAGGATGATTGGCTTATCACCATTGGCGCCGAAACGGCAACTATCGTACTCTGCGCCAGAACCCAAATATACCAACTTGTTTCCCGCCTTGCAGAGAATCTTCCCTTATGCTTAAACATTTTGCCACGGCATCCGTCACAAAGCCATTTCTGTTTAGGCTCTCTAAACACCTTCAGTTTCTGCGAGTTTGGACCAGCTAAGTAAAACCACGCAGATTTGCTCCATCTTCAAACCCGCTTGCCTCGCTTACTCCATTTGTAGATAAATCTGGCTTGCTTCATTTTAACGGACGACTGGGGAATTCCGCATTGGATTTTTCAGAACATCGTCCAATTATTCTTCCAAGGGGCCAATCCATCACTTCGGCTATAGCGACCCATTTTATGAAATCAATCTACACTCTACACTTTCTCTACAAGAAAATTCTTTCCCAATTCTGGCGCATTGTGAGTGAGGAAGACCGTTACAAGGGTATTGAGTAAATGCATACGCTTATTTTGTACTAAGCCTCTGCAACTGGAGCATATTTTGTCTAATCTTTCGACTGAGAGAGGTTTGATGGTTTCCAAAGCTTTGATGTAACAGGTGCGGATTTTTTGAGTTGAAGCGACGATTCCTTAGTCAGGATCAGCAGACTTTCGTGAATTTGGCTTGCCGAAAACAATTCACTGGAGATTTCGTCCCCCACTCCATGCCCATTTTGACGATCTGTGGGAAGCAGCAGTGAAGGCGGCAAAACGCCACTTGTATTAAACAGTTGGTCCCGCAGATTTGGGTTTCAACGGAGGATTTTGTTATGCCACATAGCCTAAATTTTTAATTCAAAACCCCTTATGCCGATTTCAAAAAATCCAGCTAACCTTGATTGTCTAACTCCGACTTATTTTCGGACCGACAGCCCTACTTCAATTTCGAACCAGACCTACATAGCACAGTGGTTGCTCCCATAGGCCAAAAATAAAAAAATTGATAACGACAAAAATAATCGAAAAGTAAACAAATCGCCTCTAAAATGTCCAAGCTTCTTCATGACAAACCAGATTTTTCTAAAAATCTAACTGGATTTTCTAAAAAATTATTTGAAGATGCTCATTTGTAAAGCGCGGCTGCGCGCATCACTAATATTTCACAACTAAACCGCACTTTGAAGTGGTCTGATCATTATTTACGTGTTCAAATTCAAATTATTTGTAATGGATTTTGAAGTTGAAGGTATTTTCTATAAAATGAGATACAATTTGATATATTAATAATAATTATTGTTATTATTATATTACTATGAACTAATGCATGTTTTTTGCCTATATTTTGAACGTATTTTTCATGTTTAGCTGAAGTTTTAGTAGTGATCCCACAAAATTCTACAATTCGTTTATATACCAATGTGTTTGCCAGTCTCCAAGGGTAACAAATGTGCAAAAATTTTTTGCCAAAATTTGCCTATGTGTCTAATATCGTAAAAATACTAACACCATCTTAACATGAAAGTTGGGTGATTTCCGTTTTTTCAGTTATATGGCAGCTATAGGATATAGTCGGCTGATCCTTATGAAATTTGGCATGTTGAATTATTTTCCCAAAAATAGCATTCGTACCAAATCAGAATTCTCTAGCTTTAAAAACACCGAAGTTATATCATTTCCGATCAATCAGTTATATGGCAGCTATAAGATATAGTCGGCTGATCCTTATGAAATTTGATAGGTCGTGTTATTTTGTCAAATATAGCATTCTTACAAAAATTGAACTCTCTAACTGTAAAAACACCCAAGTTATAGCATTTTCGATCAATCAGTTATATGGCAGCTATATGATATAGTTGCCCGATCTGGCTGATTTTAACATAATATTTTAGAATAAGAATATACATATTTTGTGCCAAGTTTCCAGTCCCTACCTCAACTAGAAGTATTTTTGGCCGCTCTCTTCGTACAAGCCGGACCACTGTGCATAGGTTTCCTCCTGGTAAAGGATGGGAATTTATCCATGAAGCATCCTCTAGCAAGCATACTGGATCTGATTCCTGGGCGTGATGGAGTAAACTGTGCAGCCATGTTAAAGATAGCTGTGGAAACGTTGAAGCGAGCATTGATTGCAGCCCCTCAAGAAGTTTGGTAAATTCCTGCCTTTTAAAAGTTCAGTTACGAAAGTTCTAAGGTAACATAACAGAAATTGATTTTTAAATGAAATTCTCGTAACAATCTGATATTATATATCATCTGAACTGCAAATTTGAAACTGCAACACTGGCTCATTCCCGAGGACCAAAGAAAATGGTCCTGACTTTGATATAAATTATAAACTATCATGTTGATAAAAAGTTATTTGATTTTGAAGTCATAAAGTTTTAGGGTATATCTATTTTTGTTTATAAACAAGAAAGGAAAGCTACTTCGGGAGGATCCGAAGTTTATATAACCTTGCAGTTAAAACTGGATATATATCGCAAACATCGGATATAGTTGGCCGATCCTTATGAGAATATCATAATAAAACCAATTAATTACCATAAAATATCTAAAAAAAAAGTCCCAAGCTTCCCAAGCTATCTTTAAAAATACCAAAGTTGGTATTTCTTCCAAATACCATTTCCGATGGTTCAGTTATGTGGCAGCTTTAAGATATAGTCGACCAATAGTTATGAAATTTGGTAGATCGGATTAACTGAACAAAAATAAAATCTGTACTAAGGTCCAGCTCTCTATCTTCAAAAACACAAAAGTTGGGTCATTTCCGATCGTTCAGTTATATGGCAGCTATAAGATATAGTCGGCCGATCCTTATGAAATTTGGCATGTCGTATTATTTTGCCAAAAAAGCTCTCATGTCAAATTTGAACTCTCTAACTCTAAAAACACCAAAGTTATACCATTTCCGATCAATCAGTTATATGGCAGCTATAGGATATAGTCGGCCGATCCCGGCCGTTCCGACTTATATACTGCGTGCAAAGGAAAGAAGGGTGTGTGCAAAGTTTCAAGACGATAGCATCAAAACTGAGAGACTAGTTCGCGTAGAAACGGACAGACAGACGGACAGACGGACATGCTCATATCAACTCAGGAGGTGATCCTGATCAAGAATATATATACTTTATAGGGTCGGAGATGTCTCCTTCACTGCGTTGCACACTTGTGACCAAAATTATAATACCCTCTGTAAAAGTATAAAATGGGTAAATATTAAGACGATGGGGTTATCTTTTGAACAGATCTCGTGCCTCAATCCCATCTGAACTTAAAATTAAATTATATGGTTAGTATTTTACATAAAAAAATATTTTTCAAAGCGAAAGTTTTTGATACACTTACATGAAAATCGGAAGGCTCTTGCTTGTCGCTTTCTATTGAAGGTGTTGGTGACAATGGTCTTGGCAGTGAGTTGGCCCTCGAAGATCCTATACTTTGATTTAATGTTTCTTGGGATATACCACTGCGAACAAAAGTATAAAATAACGAATTAGTTAGAGAACAATTATTTTATTCAGAAGCTAAAAGAAGAAACTTTTTATGATTTTTGTAGAAATTCGATTTTTCTTCAAATAATATAATTATTATAACATATAATTAACATTTTATAATAACATTAATAGGCAAACATATAAGTCTTTGTAACATTTATAATAGTTGTTTAGCAAAGGTTATGTAACATAAAAAATAGCAATTGAAATATCACACCCGAACAATGAAAGGGAACGCTCGAGTCCACACTACTATACTCGAACAGCGCAACGCAGAGTGAGTTGGTTAGTGTCTAGTAGATGACGTCGCCGCCGCCTTTGCAACCACAGTGTAGTATAACAGGTATCTACAATATACAGTAGCGTACAATGAAATCCGAACAGGCAGAAAATACTACTTTTTTAGTTTGTTTTTGTTCAGAGTTTACTTTATGAAGTAAATTTGTTTTAAATCTATGAAATTTATACAAATGTTAATGCAAAAAGTGTTCTTTTTAATTTAATTTTAAAACTTCAATATACTTCAATATTCGATGAAATCAACAAAAATTTAGGCAAACAAAAAAAATTTTTTTTTTTAATATTCCAAAATAACAAACATTTTTGAAAATTATTTCTTAATAGCTTATTACTTAACGTATTCAAAAATAATTTTGTTTTGGTTCTTTAGTATTTAGTTGGTCTTCCTTGAGTTTTTTATACGTCCTTTATTCTTGATTGCATAAAATCTACCAAGTGTTCGATAGTTTTCTTAATTATGTCTTTATAACAGACACTTTCCACTGTCAAATTAAATCCTCTTATTTTTTTTGGGTTTCTTTTAATGTATTTTACCTTTTAAAATAGGACGATATTAAATCGGATAGAAATCAGAACTACTGCCTGGCCAGTCTAATGTTGATATTCGACTTTTCTGCAAATAATTTATTACCTAAATTAAAAAAAAAAATACTAATAATAAAAAATCGCCGGCTATGAAGTCCCGCCTCCTCAAAGTTCCTTTGAACTGTTGGTGTGCCTATTTCGACTCCTTTCGACTGGTAAAACTTACTTCTTACATGTTTTGCTGATTTGAAACGATCAGCCATGCCTAATCGTGAAAGGTTTCGATCCTCGTGGTAGATGGTCTTCTTTTTCTTTCCTGATCCTGGCAAATGCTTTAAAGTTCTGGTTTTCTCAAAATTTTGTTCAAAATTTCTCGAAAGAAGACTTAACAAGTCCAACGTTAGAGCTTATTCCTCGGAGGCTTAAGATTTTCGATTGTAAGGCCAATATGGCTCCTTTGACATTTTCAGTCATTTTCGACGTATTTAAAAAAATTTTTTTTTATTATAAGAAGTTTAATAATTTAAAAAATGGCAACTCGATATAATAACACGCGCTCCTACCACATTAATGCAAAGTTCACATTAGGTGTCCTTAGGTGTACTTAGTGTCCGGATTTCATTGTCCGCTACTGTAACTTTGTTTTATTTTGGAAGCTTCTTTTGACGCGACTAAAAAAAAGTATTGGAATCTTAAAATAGTATATTATTATTTAAGTTTTAATGAACTTTATTACAAGTTCTTAACATGCATGCAGCCGAAGGCGCACTAGTAACAGTAAATGAAGACCATGAATGATTACCAAGCCATTATCCTGGGTAAACAACGCGTCTGAAGCCATATAAAAATTCACACCTGAGCGCAAAGATACAGTATTTAAAGTGGCACCTGAGCGTTGACGCAGCCATCAATTTTTTGTCTCAACAAGCCACTCAAGCCATTCAGCGTAGCTTCCTCTAAATGTAGGAAAAGGTAACGGTGGCAACGCCTGGAAACTACGGCAGCACGTTTGTACCTAATTTGCATTGGGGATCTCACTCATTGTCGAGTGACCCACGTCAAGTAACCGGCCAGAATAATAGAGCGAAGGCCTCCTCGTCAATGATGAACCTCACCTCCCTTCCCAAGTCGTTGAAGTTAATTCGTAACTCCCTCCTCAGCTCCGAGTAATCCAGTTTAAAATAAAACAAACTCGAGTTTAATGCAAACAAAAATAAAAAAAGTTATAAACCCAAAAACCAATACATGTAGGACATGGACTTCGGCAGAACGGAAATGGAGTAAAATTTGTCAAAAAAATAATAAATTTATTCCTTATTAGGTAGGAGAAGAGAACCCACTTGAAGCAGAAGAATGGTAGCCTACACTGGCTAATAAGCTCCCACTCTCAAGTCCTAAGCCCAATCTGGACATTCGGTTTTCAGTTGCAGGGGAGCTTCATTAATTATGCAAAAAGCTCAGTAAAAGATTCTCAGAACCATTACCCTGGTTCGTTCGAAACGAAACCTTTAGAGATATCTGAATAAACGAAATAGCGAAATAGTTAGAAATAAAATAGTGCAAGCTACAATAACCTGTCAACACACCCTAACCACCTGGCAAGAGCAGGTCTCTAAAGTGAGCTGCCGCATTTGTCTTCCTTGTAGTAACCTTCCCATCCAACATGAAATATTAGGAACGTGTAAATTAAGTTCAGAGAAACTGAAATAATAATATATTTTAAGGCTAACTTAGGGTAGAGCCGAAGTTGATATACGGTTTGAGTTAAATATATTTAATTATTTATACTTATATTTATTTTAGTCTTAATTAATATATACGGCATATCGCAAACATCGGATATACATCTTCATGAGAATATCATAATAAAAACCATTTATTTCAATACAAGTTTTTTTATCAACAGGGCTTTCTTGCGCACGCTTGCTTCACTGCGAGCCCCGTTTACCCCGTAAACTGCCGAACTTCCTAGATTTCTCTCTCTTCATCCCCTTCAACTGGAGGCCACCATGGGGTGGGCTAGCGGTTTCTTCCGATTAGTTCGTATTGTAACGCAATGCATATTTTCCCATACATATCGCAAATATCGGATATAGTTGGCCTATCCTTATCAAGCTTTCTAAAAACAAAAGATGTGACATTTCTGATCGTTCTGGTGTAGTTAGCTAAAAGATATAATAGACCGATCATTATTAAATGTATTAAAATTTTGTAGAACAGACTAGGTGGGCAAAAGAAGACTCTGGAGAACGTACCATTTCAAGTTTTACTAAAGCACACCAAAGTTAGGGCATTTCCGATTAATCTATTATGGAGAAAGCAATTGAGTATAGCCGATAAATTCTTTCCGTTCCGACATATGTATATTGTGGGAATAAAGGCTGCATAGCTATGGCTAACTTTTAGCCCCAAATAAAAAGAAACTAATGCGGGAAAACGTTATTTTCAGTTAATTTTTATTCTTCATCTTTTACCCTAGCAGAGGATATTATAATTTTGTCCAAAAGCGTGCAACGCAGTGAAGAAGACATCTCCGACCCTATAAAGTATATATATTCTTGATCAGGATCACCTCCTGAGTTGATATGAGCATGTCCGTCTCTCCGTCTGCTCGTCGGTCCGCCTGTCTGTCTGTTTCTACGCGAACTAGTCTCTCAGTTTTAAAGCTATCCACTTAAAAACTTTTCATACAACCTTCTTTCCTTTGCACGCAGTATATATCGGAACGGCCGGGATCGGCCGACTTTATCCTATAGCTGCCATATAACTGATTGATCGGAAATTCTGTAACTTTGTTGTTTTTTGGGTCCGTATTAAATATGAGAGCTATTTTTGGCGTAAGACGCAATGCCAAATTTCTGCCATATTACTGAAAAAACGGAAATGTCTCAACTCTCGTGTTTTTGAAGATGGAAAGTTGTAACTTGGTGCGGATTCTATCTTTGGTCAGTTGTTCCGACCTACCAAATTTCATAACGATCGGCCGACTTTATCTTATAGCTGTCATATAACTGCAGCAAGGAGTGTATTTACACAACTTGAGCGAAGAAAGACGAAATGTAATAAGAGAAAATGCACGATTGAGACACACGAAGATCATTGGCATCATACAATCGCTTGGCATTCCAATATGATCTCACTGCGAACTACTGTGATGATGAAAATTTAGATATTGGACCAATGACGACTATATGCCGATATTGCAATGCGTTAAAGAACAAAACTGATTGGCTGGATTGTGCTGCGCATGTGGAAAAGTCAAACTGGGTCCATTACTTACACCACCACAGCCACTGAAAGCATTGTTCGATGGAAGTGATCCCGATTCCAGCCATCCTTGAATACAATAACTGCTTTCGCATGACTTCCTTTTGGAGATAATATTATTCGAGAAGGCGGCTTTATGCCGACTTGCAAGGTAAAAGATACAACACACAAAACCAATTAATCACACCAACACAATGAATTGCAACACATAACAACTACATATACACCACACACTACACCATCACTAGATCAGAAGTTACTCCGTATTCTTCAACAAATGATTGTTTGAAATTACAGATACAAGGACAAATAAGTCATTTGCATGGTTCAATTGTGCCAACACCAGATGCACCGCATCAATTTTTTGCAAATATATTTCATTTTGTCAATGGTGGATCAGCTAAATGTGGGGTGCAATATACAGGGAACACAACTCTTAAACAGTTATTAACCACGCTGTGGTTAATATGGTCAAAACAGCGTTGGAACGAATGACATTGGATACGCACAAATTTGTCATAAGAGCGGATTGTACCCCAACAGGTGAAAATGTGCGAAGATTCAATGCACCCACTGTTAATGATGTTGCTGCAATTATTGTTGGCAATCCAACTAAATCGCGAGACAATTTTTTTCAGCGGAGAAGACAAGAGACACATAGTTTGTACGATGCGTTACAATATTCAATCATTTATTGGCAAGGGCAAGACGGATACGACATCACGTTGAAGATGGTCGATCCAATTACAGGTACAATATTGACACACTAATTATTGCTATTATTGTATTTTCAGGAGCATCAACGAATAAAAATCTAAGCGCAATGAATTATTATGCGTATTATGAGTATCTTATTTTTTGCTGTCGGCCTGTGTTATTA